TGAAGAAGGGTCTAGGCCCGAAACATCAGACTAGATACTATCAACAATCTGATTTAGGTGTTGAAGACAGAGGTGCAGTCCATTTACAGGTCTTCGGGCCACCCAAAGATCACAGGCAAATTAGGTACAGGACTAGGATTCAATTAGATCATAGCTGACCTGTAGCTCAACTAACTCCATATTCCTTGATACCCATATGCAAGTCAAAACATTTTTCAAATTTCGATTGACCAGCGTGCACAGAAAAAGAGTTGCAGATTTTCACTGTCCTTTGTATGCAAACATGCTTCCAGATTTCCCTCTTGAACTCCAATGTTGATTTTATCCTTTTGCTCTGCATTCCCTTACCAAAGGAAATAGTTTCTATTTAGCCTATCAATTCGTTTTGCTCAGAGAATCAACAACTGATGCTCTCTGCTGCAGTCCAATGATAAGCAAGTCTGCACGTTGAATGGTTTATTTTTTTTCCTCATGGACTCAGGTTTTGTTAAATATTTCTGTTGATAACATTGACAAAGAACATAATGGAAGAACTTAAGGATTAGGGGCAGAAGTAACATTCGGCAGCACTATTCAATAAGATTACGGCTGATTTGCCCCAGCCATCAACGCCACAATATTGCAAAATCTATCCACCTTCTCTTTGATGATCTAGCCTCCATAACTCTCTGGGGTAGAGAATTTCAGACATTCACTGACCCTGGGAGAACAGGTTCCTTTGCATCTCAGTTTTAAATGAGTGTCTACATATTCTATAACTATGTTGTCTTCTTCCCACCTTCAGTTCGAGATTCTTCCAATAGTGGAAACATCTTCTCAACATCCAGCCGGCCAAGCTCTCTCAGACTCTTTAAAATGCCACATACCCACATTTAATTCTTAGGTGAAAGCAAAATACTGTGGATGCTGGAAATCTGAATTAAAAACGGAAAATGCCAAAAAATACTCAGCAGGTCTAGCAGCATCTACGGAGATAGAAACAGAATTATGTTGAGTCCAATGTGACTCTTCTTCCTCCAGTTCTTTTATTATGGGAGCCAATATAAGCATTACCCCACAGGTATAATTGCCCTGTGTTATAAAGCAGAGGTTGACCTCCCCGCCTCTGAGAACTAAAACTGAAACCCCCAAAAAGGAGCAACTTGACTTACAATCTGTTTAAAAAAAGGTGTAAAAAGTGGTGTAACCCACCCTTCAGCAACTTCTAGTGGTTAACTAAAAGAAATCCCTGACACCTGCACAATCAACAACTAACAATTTATTTACCTAACTCTTAACAGTGAACAAATTAACTAAACCACTAACAAACCTAATCAACCCCAACTAACTACTAACTATTCCTGAATAAAATAAGATTCTAACAGTATGCTGTTCCAATAAATATAAATCCCACTTATATAAAATTTTTTAAAAACCTAGACTTTAGTCTCTCCAAGTTACAGCTAGGTTACGGGTCTTCCGGAATGTTCTGTAAGGAACGTCTTCTCCATCAATCCTTCTGTCAGGAATATTAACTAGCTGTGCCAGAGGTACCATTGATTTAGATGGTGCTTTCTCTAAAACTTAGAGAAAACTGTGAGAGCCAGCAAATCTCTCGTGAGCTGAGAGCTGTTAACTCTGGCAGATGGCAATTAGTTCTCTTGATTTTCCAACTGCCCTCTCCTTTTATATCCTTGATGACATATCAATATCTTACAATAAGATTAGTCCTATGTTGTCAAAACAATCAGATTTAAATTTAATTGGTTTTTGGTATCAAATACCTGATTCAAACTGATTGGCTAAAATCAAAACTTGTTGTCTTGATAACAAAACTGCTGTTTGGCCTGCAAACTGTAAAGCCTTTTGATACAAATGTTTCAATTCCAGTGCTCCGTGCACCTGCAAACCCACAAACATCCTTTTTCAATCGCTAAGCACAGGAAAAGTACAACCTTTTAAAAAGGACCACGCAATGCTTTCCCCCCTGGCATTTTACAAATACCAAATTCTAATGTCCTTCCTCCCAGTTCACAAATACTCTACCCAACTTCACAACACCCAATGGAGGCAAAGCCCAGACCACAGTGGCAGATCACACACCAAGTACAAGTTTAATATTTATTAAGCAACCTGTAGGAAAATATGTTTAAAATAGCAGACCCCTCATAGCCCTACAAAAGGCTGCCTCCACATTTATTTTCATCTGTCATCAATTAAATATTTAGCTTCATATTTGAAGTACCAAAGCACAGGCTAGTCAGCCTTCTCAGTCAAGAAATCACCCACATCCAAGTCGCTAGTCAGCATTTTCCAGAGCTCTACCTCACTGGCAAATAGAACAATATGAATTCCATGAAGTATTTTATTCACCTTTTCCCAGCCTTGCAAATCCAAACTGCAGTGATATGGCATCATTTTGATGTTTGAAAAATATCTTCACAACTATAAGCATTCATGCAAAAAAAACATTTCTCAGAGTTCAGAATGAGCCAGGTTCAAAGTAGACACCTAAATGGATGGTTGAGAGCATCCTTCCTTCCTGCCACCTTTGTAGCAGGTACCACAGTGGTCCCATAGAAGGTCATTCCATCTGCTTCATAAAGGGGTCCTTAAGGAGCACCCATTGAACTTAATTGATAAAATGAGTAAAAATCAGTGCTTCCCCTTAAAAAGGCATGCACAATATAATCTTTGATTGTCTTTTTGTTTTCTTCTTTCATGGCATATTGGCATTGCTAGCCGGATCACCATTTATTGCACATCTCTAGTTGCCCTTCAGAAGGTGATGGTAGCTATTTTTTTGAGCTACTGCAGTCCACGTGGTATAGGTCCAACCATAGCAGATCTGAAACAGAGCTGCTTCTGTAAAGTTTCCCCCATCATCCCAGTTTGAATTATCACTGTTAAATCTTCAGGTGCACATGGAAAATGTCAAACTATTACTTAATTAGAGGGAGTGTGCATTTCACAACTGATGTGCACATGACTCCCACGTTATTGCTGCAGTTTGTCCTGATTTACAAGATACAACACCAATAACTATCTCAAAACCTACATACATTTTTGTAATACTCCAAAAGCAAGACTATTACATGGGTCACTGTTCAAAATACATTCAAGTCAATGTGGAAATCTCTGTACTAGAAGGTTACCAATCCATACTTAGTACAACTTTGAAATGTCTCCTAACATTACATTGAGAATGAACTGCGCTACAGCCAGATAACGTGGGTAGTTCCCTCCTCCCTCAACTCCCAGTTTCCTGATATTACTCCAGCTTCTTGGTCGTGATTCACTGTCGTGCCAGCAGTTAATCTGATTTCTATCTGCCCTCATTCTTATGCCAGCATTATTTACGTTATTGCTTGAGTGGATTCATTTTTCTGTTAAAATAGCAGTCAGGATCAGAATGCTGCCATACCACTTTAAAGCCCACATTTCTCTTCCTATCAGGCAACACAACACATCAAGCTTGTACATGCAACATAATTTTGTTTTAAATTGACATCATATTACTTCACCAATACAGTTGTTAGTATTTTGTCAAAAGTAGAAACCAACTTGTGAGCTTCAAGGCAACTTTCTGAAATGAAAAAATTCACAGCATTTTTGCTTTACAATCAACATTCTAACAATGAACCTGTAAATGTGGTCAGAATTCCACAGAGCACTTAATCATTGGCCTCAACCATTTTAATAACATTTTTGAAGTCCTATTGAAATGGAGGTGTTATTGAGCAATACGTTCACATATGAGAAATGTTCACAATACAATCCAAACATTATCTCTCCAAAAGAAAGCTGCCAGGGCTACGTTATGTAGAAATTGAAAAGAAAATTTTATGGAAGAAGAAAAATCTGCATTTCTTCTTTGTCCAAAAATGAATCATGGCTACTATGAAATGAACGTTTGAATTCAGTTTCAAAACTTGCATACAATCTTAATAGTTCATTTCCTGTTGCTATCGTACTGGCAAAATTATAGTTTTGACCAAAATGAAAGGATTTGTAGACTTCTTCGCTCAAAATTAAATAATAATTCACTGTAATGGAATGCATTGGCAACACAATGCTGGCATCATCCCCAGCAGGTTATTGGGAAAGGGGATGATATGAGGGACAATGTTTTGTTTGTATTGCAGTGACATCAGAGATACAGCTATGTGATGCAACTCTTGCTTTTTTTGTCTGCATTGTTTTTAAATGACTCATAGCCTTACATGCTGTCAACCAACATTTTACCGTGCTGTTTACAATAGTATCAACTTGCCATGGACCAGTACTGATCAACAGATAGTACTGGCATTACTTATGGATCTATAACAACTACTAATTGAATTGCAAAAGATGACAGAGTAAAAGCAGGAAGCAGGGTTCTTTATTTATTTTCTCCAAAAATATATCACCAAAGAAAACCAATGAAGACTTACTAAATCTTGCAATACAGATTAGAATATTCTATGTTAAATAGCTTCTCAATGGGAAGTCCTTGCCAAAATCTTCATTGACCCCTTCAAAAAGCATTTATTACCTCTGGTTGAAGATCTGTTACAGCAAGAAACAGTTTTCACCCTGGCTACCAGTAACAGTTCTCAGAAGTTGCCTTCAATCCACAGCTCCAGCTTTAGATTTTTTTTCTCAATTGCCTATATTGGGTTGGAGTATGGTTCCATCCAAATGATTGCAGTCTCCCTCTGAACTCATAGACATTGGATGAGAATATAAAAGGCATGGTCAGTAAGTTTGCGGGCAACACCAAAATTAGTGGCACAATAGACAGTGAAGGTTTTCTAAGATTACAAAGGGATCTTGATCAAATGGGTCAGTGGGATGAAAAATGGCAGATGGAGTTCAATCTGTATAAATGCAAGGTATTGCATTTTGGTACAACAAACAAAGGTAGGGCTTATATAATTAATGGTAGAGCCTTGGGTAGTGTTGTAGAAGAGAGGGACCTAGTGGTGCAGGTACATAATTCTTTGAAGGTTGCATCACATGTAGACAGAGTGGGTAAGAAGGTATTGGACATGCTTGCCTTCATTGCTCAGTCCTTTGAGTATAGGAGCTGGGACAGCATGTTGAGGTTGTACAGGACATTGGTGAGGCCTCTTCTGGAATAGTGCGTCCAGTTCTGGTTGCCCAGTTATAGGAAGGATATTATTAAGCTGGAGGGTTCAGAACAGATTTAACCAGGATGTTGTCAGGTATGGAAGGTTTGAATTATAAAGAAAGACCCGATAGGCTGAGACTTTTTTTTCCCATCGGAGCGTAAGAGGTTGAGAGACGACCTGATAGAAATTTATAAAGTAATGAGGGGTATAAATAGAGTTAATGGCCATTATCTTTTCCCTAGGATGGGGTCATTTAGAGGGGGGGGGGGGGGGGAACACATTTTTAAGGTGACAGGCGAGAGATTTAAAAAAAGACGAGCAATTTTTTTTATACAAGAGGGTGGTTCACATCTGGAACGAACATCCAGAAAAAGTGGAAATAGTGGATGTGGGTACAATTACAACATTTAAAAGACATTCGGATAAGTACATGAATAGGAAAGGTTTGGAGGGATGTGTGCCGAGAGCAGGCAGGCGGGACTGGTTTAGTTTGGGATTATGGTCGGCATAGACTGGTTGGACCGAAGGGTCTGTTTCCATGCTGTGTGACTCTGTGATTTGATGTTTACATGAAAGATTGCAAACCGTGTGGCCCTGCTTTTGACATGGCAGATTCAAACACCAGAGTGTCCTTATCACATTTTTTTTTTCTAGTTTAATTTCTACTTTAAAATACCAAATCAATTTTTGTCCAATTAGAAACTAGTGAACTTCCATACTGCATTGAAACTAAATTTAAATAAATCACTCAAAGCTCTTCTGTAGAAGTAACCAATTATTTGTCTACTACAGTTCTGAAATAACTGATAAAACTGATCAAAATTACAGTTTGTCTTGTGATATTTTTACATTGCCACTTTGCTGGCATGTTCTCAAAAACAAAGAAAGTGCATTCCGCCCGATTAATACAACTGCCTCTGGCCAGCACAAAATAAATTACCATTAACTAGAGCGGGACGGGTACTCGTGAGAGACCTCATATCCATTTATTAAGAGCCTCATCCACACTAAGCGAGTTTTCCTTTCCTCACAAAGTTCTAACAACTGGAGTCTAGTCTTCACAAGCACTCTCCCTAATACAACGCATTTTTTTGCTTGATTGCATTGGAAAAGGATGTAACCTATTAAATGCATTTTTTTTCCCCTGTTGTTTTCATCTTTCTCCTACAAACCACCCTCCACCAGCTGAACTTCCACGCAAATTTCTCTCCTAATCGTGCAGGACATTTTTTCCCCCCTCATCTTTTAATAGTTCGAAATGGGTTAAAACAAGTGGGATAATTTTTTAAAATGGTGTGTAAACGACCCCATCCACGATCCTTTTCCCAATTAGCATGAATGCAGCACAGTTCACTACCACATCACATGGAGGACGTCTCTCTGGAAACAATTTCTCCTCAGACAGTATTTTAAGAACTTAAAAAAAAGGCGCTTCATTCAAATAATCCAATAATTGCTACTGCACTAACTTCTTACTTCACGCCATGTAATTCAAAACATTAGATAATTCAACTTTTCAATTCGCGGGTGAGTGGATGTGGTCGAACACACATTTTTACCGTTTTTTTTAAAAACGCCCCGAACTTCGGTTTAGCCGTTAACAGCGTCACGCATGCGCAGCCTCTCACTTGCCTGCGCGAGCTTTCGGTTTTCCCGGGGCCTCAGACACACAACACATTAAACTTTATTTTTTTTCCTTTTTTTTGAATGTCAGACAGAGATGGGGTGGGGGGAGAATGATATTTCCCTCCCCCAAATAAAGAGGTTTATGGCGCGCACTCCGGCTCTACCGGAAGACGTCAAACGGCCGATTCGCTCGAGAAGAATCGGCCGCTGCTCTTCGCTGCCATAAATTTATAAATTATGCTAATGGCGGAGAAAAATCCAAATGAGGCGACACAACCTCCGTCCTCCTCCTCGCCACTTCTCACCTCTTTCTCGGAGATGTGCGCACACACACACACACACACACTCTCTCTCTCTCTCACACATAGATATAAAAGAAAAAAAACTGCTCCCACCCACAGCTCCACCCAGGATTACCTGCATCTACTTACCGTTAGTTTTTAATCTTTCAGCTGCAGAAAGTAGCCCGGAAACTGTTCGCTTTTCACCAGCTTGTTTGCCAACAATTCTTTTGAGGCAAGTTACAAGAAAAAAAGTCGAGATTTTTTTTCAATTTAAGACGAACGGAAAGTCTATTGATTAACGAAGGAATATTTGCAGCGATTTTTTAAAAAAAGATAGGCCTTGAGAAATATTTTATTTTTTTCTTCACAGCTTTCACCATTGTTATGGAAACGTTTGGCGCTCCCAAACTCTTAAGGAAATTGTCTTGCCGATGCTTCCTTTGTAATTAAAAAGCCACCAGCTTCGATAAACATTGCTCGTTAAGCACTACGTTATGAACATAATTTATGCAAAGGCGAGTCTGCATACGACAAAAAAATGTTGATGTTGTCTTTCCGATCTGTGAGGACAGATGGTGCTCTTTCCTTCTTAAAGGGACAACGTCTCTGCAAATCACTTCAGTTGGGAGCATGTGACACACTCCAAGAAAGCGCCGGTAGGGTATCAGAAGCCGCCAAGTCCAGAAGCGTTTGCACCTTCAGTTCTGAGATTTATTTTGAATGCAAAAACGTGCTGGAAATATTCAGCCGGTCTAGGCAGAATCTGTGGGAAGAAAAATAGGCAGCCTACCATCAGAAGTTTGAGAAACAAAAACAGAGGTTGCTGGAAAAGCTCAGCAGGTCTGGCAGCATTTGTGCAGAGAAATCAGAGTAAATGTTTCGGGTCCAGTGACCTTTCCAGTTCTGAGGAAGGTCATCAGACCTAAAACATTAACTCTGATTTCTCAGCACAGATGTTGCCAGACCTGCTGAGTTTTTCTAGCAACTTCTGTTCTTGTTTCTGATTTACATCATCTGCAGTTCTTTCATTTTTTTAATCAGAATTTTGAGATTTGATTTGATATTTTTTAAATCAAAACAATGGTGAACTGTGTATGTATTCATTATTCATGTTTAGATCCCCATGAAGAGATAGTAATTAATTATATAAATGTGTATATAGGAGCAATATATACTTTGTGTAGGTAAGCAAACATGTATTGATGCCAGTTCCCAGCCCAGATAATGCAGGACGGTTCGAGTTGTAGAGTTTTTAATAGCGTGGAATGAGGCCCTGATAATAAACAGGAAATAAATCTGAGGCTCAGAGATAGTAAGAATTGCTGATGCTGGAGTCAGAGATAACACAGCGTGGATTTGGAAGAACACAGCAGGCCAGGCAGCATCGGAGGAGCAGGAAAGCTGACGTTTCGGGTCGTGACCCTTCTTCAGAAATGGGGGTGTGCTTGAGCCGCAGAGAAAACCGTTTTTGGAGGATCTGAATGTTGTGTATGTAGCGGTGGTTGCGGTCAGGGCCAAATTAGGAATGGCTTGAATGTAGATTGCAGTCCGTTTGGGATGATCTGGTTCCGTAGGCTGGTACTGAGAAAGGCAACGTGGCTGCAGTAGCTGGTTTGCTTCAGTATGTGGTCGAGCAATTTCAGGGCCGAAGAGATTACCAGAGAGTTGTGGTGGGCGAGAGATCCACTGAGGTCTTTCTGGAGGGAGGAGGATAACTTCTTCAAGGTGGGCATCCTTCGAAGAGGCTTTGCAATGGGGTTATAACTCACTCAGAGATAGTAAGAACTGCCGATGCTGGAGTCAGAGATAACACAGCGTGGAGCTGGAGGAACGCAACAGGCCAGGCAGCATCAGAGGAGCAGGAAAGCTGATAAGTGCCCCATTTGAGCAATAATGAGCAATAAATATGAGGCTGTCCAGCACTAAAGTCCCTGTGGTGGTATAATGTGTGCAGTCTTGCACTTGATATTTAATTAAGCATGTAATTATGTGATGGGTTATGTTATGTTATGTTATGTTATGGGTAGGTGATGGCCTAGTGGCATTATCGCTAGATTATTAATCCAGAGACCCAGGTAATGTTCTGGAGACCTGGGTTCAAATCCCGCTGTGGCAGATGGTGGAATTTGAACTCAATAATAATCTGGAATTAAGAATCTAATGATGACCATGAAACCATTGCTGATTGTCAGGGAAAAACCCATGTGGTTCATTAACGTCCTTTAGGGAAGGAAATCTGCCACCCTTACCTGGTCTGGCCTACATGTGACTCCAGACCCACAGCAATGTGGTTGACTCTTAATTGCCCTCTGGGCAATTAGAGATGGGCAATAAATGCTGGTCCAGCCAAAGATGGCCACATCCTATGAATGAATAAAATGTTGGAGGTGATTCAGAGAAGGTTCATGAGATTGATACCTGGAGTGAGCGGGTTGTCTTATGACAAAAGAATTGGACAGGCTGGGCTTGTTTTCACTGGAGTTTAGAAGAGTGAGGGTTTGATTTGATTGAAGTATGTAAGATCCTAAATGGTCTTGACAAGGTAATGCAGAAATCTTGTTTTCTCTTATGGGTGAGCCCAGAACAAGGGGACACTCTCTAAAATTAGAGGTGACTTTTTTTTTAAGGACAGGAATCTCTCAACTGATTGTGGGACTTTGGGACTTTAGCATGAAAGGCAGTAAATTGTAAAGGTAGGGAGATTCTTGTTAAACAGGATATCCCAAATTATCGAGGATCAATGGGAATGTGGAATTTGAAAAACAAACGGGTCAGCCATTATTGAATGGTGGAGCAGACTTGAAGGGTTGAATGGCCTACCTACATTCCCAATTCTTATACTTGTATATGCCCATACCTCAGCCCTGTGAGTGAGAAATGAGCTTCACTCCTTCTCTGGACTCATTACATTTGTCCCACTTTGAAACCGGAGATGGACTTAATGGGGCTTCATGAATATTGATTGATATTGTCATTTAAGACCAGATTCAAAGGTCCAAGTGGCCTACTTCTGCTCCTAATTTATGTGGTCTTATGTAAGTAAATAGGTAGGATGGAACCAGCATGGAACATCACCTGAGTTTGTCCATGTTCAGAGACTAGTATAATGATTGAAGTTCAGAAGCTACTTGAGAGGAGAGTATTGGAAGGTGCATTGATGGTAGTACTTTCAGTGGAATGAACATCCAGGAATCTGTAGCAGAGTCAGAAAGATGATGGCACCATTGGAAATATAGAAACATAGAAGATAGGAGGGAGCCATTCAGCCCTTAGAGCCTGCTCCGCCATTCATCACGATCGTGGCTGATCGTCCAGTTTAACAGCCTACTCCTGCTTTCTCCCCATAACCTTTGATCACATTTGCCCCAATTGTTATATCTAGCTGCCTTTTGAATACATTCCATGTTTTAGCATCAACTACTTCCTGTGGTAATGAATTCCACGGGCTCACCACTCTTTGGGTGAAAAAATGTCTCCTCATCTCCGTCCTAAATGGTCTACACTGAATTCTCAGACTGTGGCCCCTGGTTCTGGACGCACCTACCGTCAGGAACATCATCCCTGCATCTACCCTGCCTCTTCCTGTTAGAATTATATAAGTCTCAATGAGATCCCCCCTCATTTGTCTGAGCTCCAGTGAAAACAATCCTAACCTAGTCAATCTCTCCTCATAAGTCAGTCCCACCATCCCTGGACTCAGCCTGGTAAACCTTCACTGCACTTCCTCGAGAGCAAGAGCATCCTCCCTCAGAAAAGGACACCAAAACTGCACACAACATTCTAGGTGTGGCCTCACTAAGGCCCTGTATAACTGCAACAACACACCCCTGCTCCTGTACTCGAAACCTCTTGCAAATGAAGGCTAACATACCATTTGCCTTATTTGCTGCCTGCTACACCCGCATGCTTACCTTCAGCGACCGGTGCACAAGGACACCCAGGTCCTGCTGCACACTCCCCTCATCCCCTCTCCCAATTTACAGCCATTCAGGTAGTAATCTGCCTCCTTGTTTTTGCTTCCAGAGTGAATAATCTCACATTTATCCAAATTACACTACATTTGCACATTACTGGAAGGCACAGTAATACCTAGATAGAACAGTCTTCAGTAGAGCCTCATTTTGTACTCATCACATCTCTGAAATTTGTCCTTTTTCTTGAATCTTGTTTGAACGTTTCAGTCAATGTCTTACTGGTTCAGCCATATTGAATTTCCATAACAGTTGTTCCGCTAATTAGCACCAGTAAGAAAGTCTTGAGAACAGAGAAAAACAAAACTACAACAAAGTCAACGCAGAAACAAAATACTACCAATGCTAAAAATCTGAATTAACACCTTATATTTTCAGCGTTTTCTGTTTATAACACAACAGTAACTTGCATTTTATGTAGTGAAACTTCTCAAGGTTTTTTTCACAGGAGTGTTACCAAGCAAAATTTGACACTGAACCACATTAGGGTAGATGACCGAAACTTTGGTCAAAGTGTTATGTTTTAAGGAATATCTTAGTGGACAAAATATAACTTAGAATACAGACAATTGTAGAACATTACAGTGCTTAGGGCCTAGGTAACTGAAGCCATGGCCACTAATGATGAAGTAATTAAAATCGGGACTAAGAAAGAAGGCTGAATTGAAGGAGCACAGATATTGCGGAGAGTTGTAGGTCTAGGCAAGAATACAGGGATAGGGGCAAAGATGGAGGGATTTGAAAACAAAGATGAAATCACGATGGGATAGTAAGAACTGTTGATGCTGGAGTCAGAAATAACACAGTGTGGAGCTGGAGGATCACAGTAGGCCAGGCAGCATCAGAGGAGCAGGAAAGTTGATGTTTAGGTTCAGGACCCCTCTTCAGAAATGGGGGAGAGGGATGGGAGCTCAGAAATAAATAGAGAGGAGGGATGGGCATGGGGAAGGTAGGTGGGATGGTGATAGGTGAGTGTAGGTAGGCAGTGGTGGGGATTGGTCAGTGAGGTGGGAGGAAGATGGACAGGTTGTGTCAGGTCAAGGAGGCGGGGATGAGAGGGAGGGTTGGTCATGGGATTAGGCTGGGTGTGGGGAGATTTTGAAACTGGTAAAATCCACATTTAGGCCATTGGGCTGTAGGCTCCTGAGGCAGAATATGAGGTGCTCTTCTCCAGTTTGCGGGTGGCATCATTGTGACGCTGGAGGAGGCCCAGGGTCAAATATGACACTGATTGTGGACAGACTAGTTCACTGTTGGATTGTCACCAGGGAGACAGATGGAGTTGGTAGTTAGGGAATTGAGTTTGGAGCACAGACTGAAAACAATGGCTTCCATTTTCTCAATACTTAATTGTTGGAAAGTTCTGCTCGTCCAGCACTCTGCGAATTCAGCACCAGTGGAGGGCTTGGGTAAGAGAGGTGACAGTGAGATAGAGCTGGGGGTGGACTGTGTCCATGTGAAATGAACAGTGTCTTCAGATGATGTCATTGAGGGGCAGCATGGAGATGAGAAATGGGGAGGTGGGGCGGGAAGCAAAGATAGATCATTGAGGGATTTATCTGAGGGAACAAGAGCAAGAAGAGAAGACAATGTGGGTAATTCTCTGGTTACGAGGAGATGGATAAGAATGGAACCAGGTGATAGCAGTGTTTTTCCCCTCCCCAGCAGCTGGAT